GTAAATTCAAGTCCTTGCACCCCCACCCTGATGCAAATTCAGGTTCGGTGAATCCCCACCCTGGCGCGAGATTCAGCTCATCCCCATGATGGTGCAAATTTGGATCAAGTGCAAATTGGGATCCTGTGCAAATTTGGGGCTGGCGCATCCCAATCCTGGTACAAAATTAGAACGTGCGCACATTTGGGGCTGGTATATTCTTATCACGGTGCAAATCCGGATCGGGTGCCAATTTGGGTTTGGCGCATCCCAATTCTGGTGCAAATTTGCATCCTGTGAAAGCTCAGGGGTAGCGCATCCCCCTCTTTGTGCAAATTTGGGGTTGGTGCATCCCAGTCCTGGTGTAAATCTGTGTTTGGCTCATCCCCAACCTGGTGCAAACTTGGATCTTGTGTACAAGTTTGGGTTTGGCGCATCCCAATTCTGGCGCAAATTTGCATCCTGTGCAAATTTGGGGCTGGTGCGTCCCCACCTTGGTGCAAATTTGGGGTTGCTGCATCCCAATCCTGGTGCAAATCTGGATTCTGTGCAAATTTGGGGCTGGTGCATCTTTATCAAGGTGCAAATTTGGATCCCGTGTAAATGTGGGACTGGTGCATCCCTGTCTTGGTGCAAATTTGGGGTTGGTGAATCCCAATCCTGGTGCAGATCTGGATTATGTGCAAATTTGGGGCTGGTGCATCCCCACCTTGGTGCAAATTTGGGGTTAGTGCATCTTTATCAAGGTGCAAATTTGGATCCCGTGTAAATCTGGGGCCAGCACATCCCCATCCGGGTGCAAATCCAGATTCTTGTGCAAATTCGTGTGCATCACATCCCCATCCCATTCCACACCCAAACCGAGGGTGGGAAGGGGCGCTGCGGCCCCTCCCTGGGGCCACGGGACGTGTCACGAGCGTGCCGTGCTCAACAGGAGACCCAGGCAGGCGAGGAGCCGCGCTGCGTGTCCTGGCACACGGCGGGCACCAGGGGCTACTGGACTTCCTCAGGCTGCGCCCGCATTGGGGGTGACAACCTCCACTCCACCTGCGCCTGCACCCACTTCTCCACCTTCGCCATCCTCATGGCCATCGACCCCGTGACGGTCAGATCCCGTTTTCACCCTTAAATCACCCGTTTTTGGGGTGTTGTTTTGTTTTGGTTTGTTTTTTTTTTTTTCCTTCCCAAATGGTCGCGTGTGGCCACGCACCAGATGGGACTGGCGTGATGTCGTGCGTGTGACGTCCCCCGCAGGACAGTTTCGCGCTGATGGTGGTGACTTACGTGGGGTTGTCGGTGTCGCTGGTCTGCCTCTTCCTCGCCATCGCCACCTTCCTCCTGTGCCGCTCGCTCTGGAGCGTCAGCATCAGCCTCCACCTGCAGCTCAGCATCTGCCTCTTCGCTGCTGACCTCCTCTTCCTCGTGGCTGTGCCCCGCACCGATGACCGGGTACGGGCTCCTCAGGGCCTCCTGGAGTACCTTGGGACCTTCAGGGGCTTCTTGAGCTCCTCAGGGTCTCCACAGGCTCCTTGGGGCCTCCTGGAGCATCTTGGGACCTTCAGGGACTCCTCAGGGTCTTCTTGAGCCTCCTTGGGGGTCTTCACATGCTCCTCAGGGTCTCCTTGAGCGCCTTGGGACCTTCAGGGGACCCTTGAAGCTCCTTGGGGTCTTCACATGCTCCTCGGGGTCTCCTTGAGCACCTTGGGACCTTCAGGGGACCCTTGAACCTCCTTGAGGGTCTTCACATGCTCCTCGAGGTTTCCTTGAGCACCTTGGGGCAGTTTGGGGCTCCTCATCATTCTCATTCTGCTCCTCTGGGTCTCCACAATGTCTTTGGGGCCTCCTCAAGCTCCCCAAGGACATCCTCGAGGAGGTCCTTGGGGAGCTTGTGAGGAAAAGGACCCGGGGTCATGGCTCTTGGCTGTAGTCTCTACCCAAATAACTCCAGCCGACGTTCTGCCAGGGGCCCCACCTCACGCTGGGTGGGCGCAAGTGCCTGGATTATGGGGTAACTGAGGTTGGAAGGGTTGGTCCAACCCAACCTCAACTCAGTTCCAATTAGTTGAGGGTCTTCAAGGTTGTTGGTTCCCTTCTTGCTCTGGGTGGGTGTCAGCACCTGAATTACAAGATAAATGAGGTTGAACGGGGTGTTTGGAGATCTCCAGGCCAATCTCCACTCAAAGGGGGTTTAACTAGTTGAGGTTCCTCCGAGTTGTTGGGTCTCATCTCTCTCTGGGTGAGTGAAAACACCTGAATTATGGGATAACCAAGGTTGAACGGGATGTTTGGAGGTCTCCAGGCCAACCCCAACTCATAGCAGGTCCACCCAGTTTGGTTTCCTCAAGGCTCTTGGGTCCCTTTTTCCTCTGGGTGGGCGGAGCCAGTTGAATTATGGGATAGCTCAGCTTGGAAGAGACATTTGGATGTCTCTGCTGCGCCCCCAGCCCAAAGCATCTCCACCTCCTTGAGGTTCCTTGAGGGCATGTTGGGGTGTGTGGAACATCTCCAAGTGCTGGAGATGCCACCACCTCCCCAGGCCACACTGTGGTGACACTGGGGAGCCCAGCATGGCCTTGGTGTCCCCCATCCAGCTGTCATGTGCCATCACGGCGGGCTTCCTCCACTACCTCTTCCTTGCCTGCTTCACCTGGATGTTCCTGGAGGGTTTGAATCTCTTCCTCACCGTCAGAAACCTGAGTGTCCTCAACTACACCAATGTCAATCGCTTCAGGAAAAGATACATCTACCCCGTGGGCTACGGCGTGCCGGCCATCATGGTGGCCATCTCCGCCGCCATCCACCCTGGTGGCTACGGCACGACGCGCTAGTGAGTCCCACCAGCACCCAGGCTGGGGTCAATCAAGAGGGGTGGGATCACCAATGGAGAACATCATGTGTTTTGCCTAAATCATTGCCCCCCCCCCCCAAAAAAAGGTGCCGCGGCAGCCAGATGTGGGTATTTTCATGCCACCAACATCGCCAAAGGGATTTTGGGGGGTACACTTCCCTTTTTTCTCCCTTTTTAGCTGCTGGCTGAGCACGGAGGAAGGCTTCATCTGGAGTTTCCTCGGTCCCGTCTGTGTCATCATCCTGGTGGGTGTCTCGCTGCAAAAAGGAGGCAGAGGGGGGAAAAAAACGGGAGAAAAAGGAACAAATTCAGACATACCTTTAAGAACAATATTTAGTAAACGCCCCATGGGCTGGGTGCGCCTCACAGAACTTGCAACGTGGCGCATTAATTTTTTCGCACCGTTGGCCCCTTTTCCAACCCAAATTTATGACTGTGGCCACAGCTCTTCCCCCATAGACCCCAAACGGAGGATTTTTAGAGATTCGCATAAAAAGAGCAACTTCCCGTGTATATTTAAGATGGTATTAAGGAAAGATCCCATGGGCTGGGTGTGCTCCATGCAGGCCACGCCACAGTGCGTGATTTTGCACCGTTGACCCTTTTCCACAGGTAATTTATGACCCATGGACCCTGTCTTGAAAAATGACTGGGGTTTTTATGCTTTCTGCCCAGGTTAATTTGATATTTTTTCTCATCACCCTCTGGACGTTGCGGGACAAGATCTCCTCCCTCAACACCAATATCACGGCCCTAAAAAACACCCGGTGGGTTTTCGCATCAGCGGGAAGCGTGTTGGGTATATTGGGGGAGAAGGAAGAGCACCTGGGATGGGTTTTGGGTGGGAAAAAAAAAAAAAAGGAGCAAAATGAGCGTTCCATCAGGCTGATGACGTTCAAGGCGCTGGCGCACATCTGTATCTTGGGCTGCACGTGGGGTCTGGGCTTCCTGCAGTCACGGGGGAACAACAGAGTGGTGGCCTTCATCTTCACCATCATCAACAGCCTGCAGGGAGCCTTCATCTTCCTTGTGCACTGCGTCCTCAACCGGCAGGTACTGGGGAGGGGACCCCGGTGTGGGGTGTGTGTGAGGGCAGGGGGACACTCGGGACACAACTGTGGGTCCCGTCCACAGGTGACGGAGCAGTACTGGCGCTGGTTTAGGGCGCTGGGGCGACGAGCGCACCCCCAGGAAATGGCCACCACCGAGATCCATGTCTCCTATGTCACGGTAAGGGCACCCGGACCCCTGCGGGGTGCTGGGTGGGCACCCAAAACCCGTGTCCTTGTGGGGTGCTGGGTGGGCACCCAAATATCTGGGTGCTCTAGTTGCCACCAAAAGGAGGTGGGGATCCAGGGGTGGCCTGGGGGGACCCCCAGGTTCCTCCCAGGATACTTGGGACTCTGTCAAGAAACCACCAGAACCTCCGTCCCATTTCCGTCCCTTTTTGTCCTCATTTCACCCCAACATGGCTCCTTTTTTTTTTTTTTTTTTTTTTTTTTTTTTTTTTT